AATATGATAATGGCTTATGACAAACAATGCCTATGTAGGTCCGCGTCGTATAGACCCCAATATAACGGCTATATTCGGTATTTTTAAAATGTTAACAGAATTTTTTAAGGATTTTATTTCCAAATTCGTTTCAATTGGTGGAGGGCATTCAAAGTTCGGCCCAGCCGAACTTACTGATTTTTAACTTGTTTCATAATAGCTAATAGGACACAGTGGTTTGTGTGCAATTATCCTCTGACAATCAAATAAATATAAATTAGAATCTGGACTTTCGCGTCCTCCAGAACCACTGTAAAATGTTATTATTTTTTCCGTTGTCATTGAAAAAACATAAAAAGGATAATTTGCTTTTACAATTTCGTTGTTGTTGCTGTGCGAACACATCCAACTACAGAACCGCTAATGAACGCTTTGCCAGCAATGCACTACTGAGGAAATAACGTGCTAAAGAGCTTTACGTCAAAATGCTCGTCTCAAGAAAAATAAAAAAACAGGAACCCTAGATTATGCCGAAGTAGTGCATCCTTTTTTCCTCGAGTAGTGTACATGTCCATGTGTAGGTGTGTATGTGTGTGTGTGTGGGGGGCACTTGTAGTGGGCACGTAATGCCGCTGCTTCAAACATTTTGTGTTAATTGCATTTCTCTGCCTCCATTCGTTTCTCTTTATTTTTTCCATTTCGCTGAACATAAAAATAGACAGAAAACAAGAAACCTCGAGCACTTTAACAAGTTTAACGAGAGAGAGTGAGAAAAAAGGAAAGATTTTTTTCTTTTTGTTTTAGCTTCATTATGATTTGTTTGCCATGACGTTATTGCAAACCTTGAGAATGGCTAGCTGACTTCATGTGTCTCTGTGTATGCGTGTGTGCCTGTCCGGCCACGTAGGTGTATTATAGGCTGATGAAGAAATCTAGTCGCCGCTCATTTGCAAATGTCCAATAAATTTTAATAAGCATCATTTTCCAAAATGTTTTACGCGAATAATAAACAAATTAGCCAAAGCTTAGCAGAATTAGAAACAAAAAAAAAAACGTATCATTCTAAATTCGGCTTGGCCTGACTTGACTGTTGGGGCTGCTCACTTTTGAATTTTGAATTTTCTCGTCTTGTCATGAAACAACTGAAAATTGAAATTTACATCTTTTATTATTTCGTGTTTGTGCGTTTGTGTATCTCTTTCAGATCTTTTCTAATGGAAATTTAAGACCGGCATCGGATTACTGTGAGCATGAAAACGGGGGAAAAAAATTAAATGAAGATACCTTTGTTTTAATGAGGTGTTTTGTCAGACATTGACGTAACGTCTGATCTGCATACGTTTAAGCCAAATGGCCACAATTGGCCATTGGTCGAGTAATGTGAGGTGAGTGAATTTTCTTTATTGGCTTCTAAGGTTCGTTACAATGTCATTTACCACGAGAGTGTTATAAATGTAAATATGTTAATTAAAGATTTCGATTTCTTAGCAAAATAGCAAAAATAATATTTTTTCAAAATAATATTCAATTTTTAAACAGATTGGACTTTATAATTTGTAGTTAATAAATATTTAGGACTAGCAAGTGCCTGCTACTTCGTCAGCGAAAAGTCCACCGTAAAATGTAATCGATGTATGCATCGTACTCAATTTTCAGACTTTTATGGTTTTATGTATTATTTAAGATCTTCTTTTTCCGCTTTGCCTTTAACACCAAGAAGTCTTCAAAATATTTCATTTTGAAGTATACTGAGGAGAATATTAGTAAAATCATAGCACAATGAACCAACATGCAATTGTCGGCCCAAAACTATTTCAACGTCTCAATATGTAAAAACCAAAACCAACAGACACCTCTATATCAAATTGCGGGACTTCAGCTCCATACATTCCCTTATTACCAAATTTATTAACATTTAGTACTTTTCGTATAATTTTCGTACTCTTGCAAATAAATTCCATAACACAATACTAGACACAAACAGGTGTCGCAATATAAAATTTGACGGTTTCTGCCATACGGAATTTAGTACTTTTGTAGTATATATATTCAAAACCACTACCAAATCTTAAGTACTGATACCACTTTTTGTACAATTATAGTTCAAAATTTCAGATTTCAAGCACTATCAATTTACCCAATACCAAATTGTACCAAATATAGGACTATTTAGTACTTTTCGTACATATTTCTAAAACCAACTCCATATCTCAATCCCAAATGCCAACAGAGACTTCATTATCAAATTTCTATCCCTTCTAAAGCCTCCTTCATATCTCTCTCCCAGATGCCTACAGAGACTCAATGTCAAATTTCGGGAACCATCTATCCCTTCACCCAATACCCAATTTGGTGCAACTTATTACTTTTCGTACAAATATTGGACACATCTCCAAACAAACCCCAAATCTCAACACCAGATACCATCATTTCATATTCAAATTTCAATTTCAGAATTTTATATCCATCCTGTCACCCGATACCACATATAGTACCATTGAGTACTTTTGGTAAAACTATGAATAGCGTCCCTAATACACAACTTCAGTTTTCAAGCACTATCTGATCACTCAAGACCAAATTGTACCAAATATAGTACTATTTACTACTTTTTGTACACTTATCGTACACAATTCCAAAATCTCCTCCATATCTCAATCCCAAATGCTAACAGAATTTCAAATTTCAGGATTCCAGCTCTATCCTCTCATTCAATACTCAAAATTTGTACTACTTAGTACTTTTAGTACAAATATTGGACACATTTCCAAACCAACCTTCGAATCTCAAACCCAGATACCATCAGTATGCTAGCTATCAAATTTCAGAATTTTATCTCTATCCCTTCATCCAATACCATATATAGTACCATTCAGTACTTTTCGTACAATTATAGTATATATTTCCGAAACCACCTCCATATGTCCAGGCTACACACAAATAGCAACCTTAATACCGAATAAAGGCGTTACATTGGGTTATCTACGACGAGAACCTACATCTACGACATCTCAAACAATTTCGGTGAGTATTGTACCTAAAATCGTCAAAATACCGAATATAGGGAGGTGCTGATATATGGGGCCTATACGCAGACCTGGACCTGCATACACAATTTTCTGTCACAGACAATTCCGGCGAATAACGACGCTATAATCATCAAAATACCAAATATCCGGAAGTACTATTATTTGGGGGCTATATGAAGACGTGGATCTGCACAGACAATTTTCAGTCACAGGCTGTAATATCCATTACGAACTTCAAATACCAAATTTGAAAAAATAATTCCCGTGAATAATGTCGCTAAAATCATCAAACTACCGAATATAGGGAGGTACCGTTTTATGGGGGCTATATGGAGACGTGGACCAACACAGACAATTTTCTGTCTTAGGCTGTAGGTTTAATTTTGAGCTTCAAATACCAAATTTGAAACACATCGTTCGAAAGCTAAATTGACTTAGAATTTTACGCTGATCAATAATATATATACTTTGTTGGGTCTGACATTAGTATTTCGAGGAGTTACAAGCGGAATAACAAAGTTAATATACCCTCCATAGTATGGTTAAAATCCACATAAACATTTTGTACTTTATTAGTACGTTCTTCTAAAAACTACAATGCCATTTTTCACCAACCACCACCAGTGGTTCAAAATTTCTTGTACCATTTTACAAATTCTCAAAACCTTTGTGTACCAATCCTCATATAAAAAATATGAGCTGTTGCTCTTTCTAATGGCCTTATATCAATGGTAAGCTACTTAGTATCTTTAAGTACTTTCTCCATATCCTTTTAAGTATAAATTTCAAACACTCGATATAAGTTTAACCCTACATCATTCTGTCCTAAATTTGAGTACCTTTATTAATTTCCGAATATTAGTACAAATTCCTAAAAAATTGTTTTATGTTAAGTAATGTTAAGTACACTTTCTACTTTTCGCACACTTTAGTACAAATTTCCTGCTTCTGCCGTCTTCAGAGTCCTTAAGTAAACCTTTTGTATATAAAAGACCCTGGAAGATCTTCCGACAAAAGCCCTTTTAAGCTCGGTTGTGAACGTAAAAACCTTCAGGCCATTAATAAACCAAATTTTGTATGCATCACCACTCTTTCAAAATATCCTCTTTATTTTTATTTTTATTTTAAATTCAATTTCAATAAAAATTTCCTTTCTCCTTTGAAAATATTAGCTTTTCGATTTCATTGCATTTCCAACAACAAATACATTTTCTTTTTGTTGTTTTATTGCTTTGAATAATAAATAAATTGCATAAAATTTGAAAAATAAAAATGGAGAGCAATTTTTGTTTCTTCAAAAGAACAACTTTCATAAATCATCATCGTGTTAGCATTTATAATGGACGAGTTGAGAAACGGAGCAAGACGGCGACGACGACGACGATGCCGAGGTGTAGCAGCAGCAACAGAAACATTAACAAAATTGAATATTCTTCAAAATACCGGAGACCGAGTTGGATAAAAAAAAAACTGAAAAATCCTTTTGATCACAATGCATGACATATTTTAAAATAAAGAAGAGAAGAAGACGAAAAAACGAGACTCCAATCCATTTATGAGTCCTACAAAAGGACATGCAGAATAATAATAATAACAACAAGAACTGGCAAAATGGGATGTCTGAGATGTGGGAGTGAATGGGGGTGGGCAGACAAAACGAAAGGGTCGTTACGCTTGATGGCAATATGAATGCATAATCTGAGTGGTCCACAAGCAACAAAAAAAGTGAACAAATGAAATTTGATACAATTTTAGAATTCTTAACAAAATAAATGTTGCAAATGTATTTGGATTTTATTTTTGCTGATTTTTGGTTCTTAAACATTCAGCCCCCTCTCCCCTTTTTTGAAGCATGTTCTTTTGCCTTAAACTAATCCTTAAACATTTCATGTAACTCAAATTTCTTTTGCCTTCTTCATTCACTTTTCTTTTGTTTGCTTTGAGTTACGAACAAATTATCCTTTTGGCTTATATTCTCTCGCTCTCACTCACCTGTACACGAGCTTCCGTAAGATTAATTTTCATTGCCAAATCTTCACGTGTGAAAACATCCGGATAATGAGTTTGGGCAAATGCAGTCTCAAGTTCCTCCAACTGCAACAGCATCGGCATCAGCAACAACAATAGCAAAAAGAAAAACAAAGAAACATCGATTTAAGTGAAGTCAAGTGTCGTGGAGAAACTTTTCAGCTTTAAAAGACCGTAAAAATATTTTCACATCAATTACCTGTTGCAGTGTAAACGTTGTACGATTTCGCCGTTGTTTACGACGCACAAAAGTTTCATCATGTATGGCAGGATGATACGAATAGCTGGTGTCTGTAACAAAGGTGAGAAAAGTTTCGAAAATTAGAAAACATCAGGGGAAGAAAGTTTTTAAGTGTTTTTGGATTTTTTAATGGAATTCAATGTATTGGGGTGGAACTTAAAAAAGTTCATATGTTTTTCCTAAAATATATATGGAAATGGTTCCAACGTCCTGAGGGCAATTTTTGGTTTTTAATTTTTTTCTAAATATTCTTGCGAATTATTTATTTTTTTTTTATCGAAAAAAATTAAAAGGTTTCAGTCGTTTTTCCGACAGTTGTATACCCTCAACCAAAACCCATTTACCTAAATATTTATTTTAATAAAAGAGTCAAGTAATTCACTGATTGACTGATTTAACGATTCATCAACGCCCAGACGAAACGACTGAAGCTGAAATCCTGAAATTTTGGGTGACGGTCACTCTTGGCTCGAGACTGCATTTTTTTAGACTTCTATTGTATTTTACGAAACAGTAGAGCTAGAACTCTTAAATTTGGAATCAGGGTCACTGTGAAGTTTATGATTGATGTACCAAAGGTTTTTGGAAATTCGCACCATAAGTGAACGAAAAGTACTAAAATGTACTACATTTGGTACAATTTCGTATCATGTGAACGGTTAGATATAAAAATGGAATGGGAATCAAGTTTGAGGAGTAGAGTTGATATAAGGAGGTAGTTGTGGAAGTGTGTACCTTTGTATACAAAAAGTACTCAACGGTACTAAATTGAGTACAATTTGAATTTTGCGGAGAGTAGAAGGAAGTTTTCGAAATTTGTACTTATGTGCATGAAAAGTACTAAATGATCTAAATTTGGTGCAATTTTGATTTGGGCGAAGAATTCTATTGTATTTTTGAACTGAGGAAAGAGTAGTTTTGGAAATTCGTACTTAGGTGTTCTAAATGGTACTAAATTTGGAAAATTTAAAATTTGGTTTTGAAGAAGAGCTCGGATTAAAGCCATTGAAATTCCAAAAAGTGCAAGAACTTACACCGCAATAGAAAGAAAATAGACTCAAAAGAGCTAAAGAGTTGCTTCGATTGACCGAAAGTGGTGAACTGCCGAATTTGGTTTTCTCTGTCTCCGATGAGAAAACACTCTTTGTCCTGCGGTTTGTAAACAATCAAAATGATCGAGTTTACTTGCCAAAGAGGTCAGCTGAAAATGTGCAACTTCGGTTGGCCACCATAACTCAAGCACCGGCCATGGTGGTGATGTGGGCTCTCTACTCGTATTAATCGACGGTGACATCAGAATAATTCCGAATATTATCGCTAAAATATTCTGGAGGGTGTTTTAAAACCCTGGGCACGCAAACATTTTGGCGCAGACCTTGGACATTCCAACAGGACTCAGCACCATTGCACTCAGCGCACACCACCCAAGAATGGTTACAAAATGAGGTTTCTCGCTTCATTTCTAGCGCACAATGGTCACCAAAATCTCCGGATACCAATCCGTTGGACTATTGTGTCTGGAGTATTTTGGAAAGCTAAAGACACTAAAAAATACCAAAGTGTCGATCACCTCAAGCAAGCGCTTCGCCGGGAATGGCCAAAACACCGCAGAGAAACATTCGGGCAGTGTGTGGCGGTTTCATTGGCCGTTTGAAGGCCATATTTCGTGCCAAAGGTGACAAATTCCAACAAATCTTAACTTATATTAAAATTTGATGCTATTTCCGATATTTTTTGCTTTCATTCAATAAAATTTAAAGAAGGAAATATATAACAATTATGGCGTTTGACTTTGTTGCTGTTTTTTATCACACCCTGCAATGTTACCATGTGCTAAGTTTCAACCAAATTGGGTACTCCCTTCAAGAGTTATCGAACATACCAGCCAGTCAGCCAGACAGACGGACGGACGGACACCCCTAGATCTACTCCAAATGTTCGAAAAGGATATAGAGTCAAAAACCCTTATTGTTATGAGGCACGATTTAGTTATATGTCTAAGGGTATAAAAAAAACCTCAGTCCTTGCACCTGACACCTCATGTCCTTAAACCGACTTTTTTCTGTGGAAAAAATACCTCATCTTCATTTTGGGATTTTTTTTTACAAAAATTGTTCTCAGGAATTGAGGAATTGTTTTGGTATCGGTTTTTAATGCCAACTATTTTCTATAGAAAAATCTTTCCATTTTTTTCTGTAGGAAAAAATACCTTATTTGTGTGAAGTCTGAATTTTTCTATAAAAAACATTGCAATTTCTGAGGCCGGAGGTTTTTTTTATAGTAAAGAAAAATCGTTCTCCCATTTTTTTTCATTAATTGTGTATAAATAACTTGATAACTTGTTGTTTTATTTACAAATAATTAAATCATCACTGCTTTTGAACGCACTCACACAGATACACCTACATAAAACTCCGTCCATCAACTGTAACAAAATTCCATATCCTTATTTGCTCATTGTACATAATCTCCGAGTTACCCGGGGTAAATATGGCCGATGTAATGAAGGTAATGAGTGGCCAGCAAACACTCGCATTGGATGATGGCCGGTGATGACCTTAGGCTTTCATTACCAACCTTAAACACAATTAAAAATGTATATTTTTCACCTCCCACCAGGACGACGGGGTAGACAGACCACCAGGTTATGGACATTAGCAACAGCTCGAAATTTTTATTTGGATTCATTGTGGGCGGGGGGATGGTTAAACCACCCACCAATAACCTTCCACAAGAGAAGGAAAAAAGTGTTAACATTTATATTTCATCACCAGCATCATCGTCATTATAAATTTTGTGCTCTCGTTGAACTTCTCCCCGGCTCGTGCCACTCGTGCTGGCAAATTTCGGACTCTATGCGAAATTAATTTTCAATTTGTTTTAAATAAATAATGAGTTACAAATTGCAAAATTTAATTTTAATTTTCTCTGCTTTTTGGAAGGCTGCAGATGTTTTCACAATCCAATATGGCCAACACTTGTTTGGCCTGGTTTCAGAGAGTGTGTGAGTGAGAGAGAGGCAACCAATGGGGCCGGGGCCGTAAGTCAAGCATAAATGAGTGGCCCAGAAGTGAAGGCATGTGTTTTTGTTTTTCTTCCTCGGTCACTTGTTACCAAAAAGGTCCTGCTGCTTCTCTACAGCCTGCAAATACTGGCTACCATTCTGCTCTTGTCCTGATGATTACAAGGAAGCTAATGTTGTTTGTGTTCTTTTGTAATTTTCTGTTAAACATAATCCGATTAGAGATTTTATACATTTACAAACTCTCACACACACACACACTCTCTCCATGTGGAGCTGTTGATATTTTATTTCGTTTTTACTTTGTGTTGGTTTGAGTAGCGAGGAAAAAAGTTCAAGTTGTTGTCCCACTTAGCAAGCATTGGCTATATTTCTGCCATGGCGGATTTCCATTAAAAACATACTTTTAACTCCTTTCCTCGCTCGGCCTCTGCGAGTAGAGCTGCCGCCTCTGTCCGTATTTGTCTCCAGGGAATCCTTAATGCGCAGTAATACTGTTAGCTGCCAACAGCTACTTGTGTTGCTGTTGTTGTTGTTCTACGACATTTTGCCAAGTTCAAATGAATGAGTTTGAGCGACCGAATGTTCCGAAGAAAGCCAGTCGTGTGTGAAGACATAGCAAATGTAGCTATGCCTAAAACATAGCTACGGACCCAGATGCTGGCTCAACTGTCAACTGCTGGTATTTCTCTTCGACTCTCTGCCCCTATTTCTCCCCTCCCTTTTCTCCATTCTTTTTTATGCCATTCATTCATACAAATTGTGTTTTAAGTTCATCTTCACTTCATGTCTTTATTAATATTTAATGAAACAATTAATATTTCACAATTTCAGTTTGAGTTTTGTTTTGAGTCTGTGTGTGTGTGTGTGTGTGTGCTCTCAATCCAAATGGATTCAAAGATGGGGTTAAAGGGAGGTTTCACATACATATTTCTTTATATAAAGTATAATTTGATATACCCTTACATTGTATAGAGTAGATAGTAAATTAAATTTAGAATCTTTAATGGAGATCACAAATAATATATGAATATACCTTAAAAATTGTAACAAATAATGATATATAATATTATTGACCGCTTATATTCATCGAATAGGCAAATAAAGAAGAATAGAAGTGGTCGGAATTCATTGCTTAACGTCCTTCATATTCTCATCTTTAAAATTCCAATAATATTCGCATACATTTCGCATCAAAAAGGCTGCTTGTTTGGTGAGGAGTTCAACCTAAGAAATATATATTCGAGGGGATACCGCGACTTTAGGATCACACAATGGTACGAATACTTGCGACCGTTAAGAGTCTTTGGATTCCAGAAAAGTGTGGGGTACGTAAGACATAATCCCACTTTGTGGAGGACTTTCGGTATCTACCGCTATCCTGGAACCTCTTATTCAACCATTCCACTTGCGAGTGGCGCCCAAGCAAATAATTTTAAAAACCAATGTTTCAAACTTGACCTATAGAGTAGGGAACTCGAACTTTCTCGGGTGGCATAGGGACGATTTACAATGTAATGTGCTATATTCTTCTACGATATGGCCAGATCTGCTTAAGTCCTCGAATAACTTGTGAGGATAAGCTTTACAAAGCTGTTGTGATACTCTCTGTGGTACCGCTGACAAAATCCAAGTTGATGTTCGGCAGTAATGGTTTTCAGTACTGAAGATAAAAGAGAAATCAGCATATACGAGATTTGAATCATTGGCAGGAGGTTCCTAAGGAGGTTTAATTAAATAGAATTATATTGAAATTATGTTGGTATACCCTACTCCCCGGTTCATGATTCCCAGTTCATGACGGTAAAAATTTGATATCGTACTGTCACTCCCGAAATGCTTAATGATCTAAAGGTTAAAATGCACCGTACATTTTACGATTCGGTCACCGTCAGCCATTGCAGAAAATAAGACCTGTTATCCTATTCCCAGGATTCTAGAGCGATTGCGATTGCCCCCAACTTTCTCATATCGGTCACAATGCTACAGGTCTTCACTCTTGCGTCTCTGATTAAAATTTTGGTCTAT